TGAAGTCCAAGTCGTACTTTCCTTCCTTGAAGAATTCGGAGGCGGCGACATCCATACCTATCGAAATCTGAAAACAACCTCCTGTAAGAAATAATGCAGAGCGGCTAAGATCACCCTATCATACAAGAGCGACCGCAGTTAGCCCACTTCTTTCCCCATTCTAAGTTCTACTCAGGGGTTCGAATGAGTGCATCTTCTTACCTTTCCTGTGTATCCGGCTAGGTCAATGGCAGTCTTAAGGAGATCGAGACCCTCCTTATTGTCTTGAATGTTAGGGGCGAAGCCACCCTCGTCTCCCACGGCAGTGGCATCAAGACCGTATCTGCAAGAAGAACATCATATTCCCAAATTGCAGTAATCCAATTCGACGCACCTCTTCTTGATCTCAGCCTTGAGGTGATGATACACTTCTGATCCCATCCTCATGGCTTCGTGGAAACTTGAGGCACCAACTGGCAAGATCATGAACTCCTGTAATTGATGATGCATTAAAATTTGTACTTACACATGACAAATGAAAGCTTTGAATACCTGCATAGCAAGCTTGTTTCCAGCATGGGAACCTCCATTAATAACGTTGAAAGCAGGAACAGGCAGAATAACCTTGAAATACAACCACTTTTGAAAAGCGCAATAAGGTTTCAGATAACCGCAGTGAAAGAGTGGTAGCAGCAGCAGTAAAACGAGTGACTTGGATTAACTGGGAGGAACAGAATTATGAATGCTCCTACAATGAAAAATAATCAAGAATACCTAAAGCAATGCAAAATTACCTTGCTGACGCCGGCTAGTTCGGCGAGGTACTTGTAAAGTGGCATGCCCTTATGAACAGCTCCAGCCTTGGCAACAGCAAGAGAAACACCAAGGATGGCATTAGCCCCAAGATTAGACTTGTTCTCTGTTCCATCAAGAGCTAGCATGAACTGGTCGATATCTCGTTGCTGTGTGACGCAGAAGTTCTAAAGAATAAAATAGCAGAAAGTAAGCAACCAAGTAAAGAAAAACAAAGACTGCCAAATCCAACCTTAGCAATGAGAGCAGGAGCAATTTTCTCGTTGATGTTGGCAACAGCTTCTACGATTGATATTTGCAGACAGGCATTTCAGACCACTTCTCCTTTCATGATGTACTTCCTTATCCTTTGTCCCACGTGAGCTCAAGGGATCTCTCGTGACTACGTCCTGTTGACGCTTGATGGAGCTCATGGACCAGGCACGGAAAAACACCTACAAACCATTCCTTTTTGACTCACGCCATCGAGCGAACGTTTAAATAATTGCAAATGTTCAAACAGAGATACATGATTCGCGACCAAGCTCAGCTTTTTTGAACGACGCTCTACGACTGGACTGGTTTCTTACCAAAAGGACTAACTCCACTACGCTCGCGATCATGCTTGTTTAAGAAGATGGAATTGTGGCTTCAACCACGAAAAAGCCAACCTTTACAATAATGAACACGCTTCCTCGCGCGTTTTGTTCTTATGGACGTACTCGTTCGGATGTATCAGTGAAGAACTCGCCTTGAGAAGCTCTGCTTTTGAGCAAGTAGCCAAGCGTCCCTATAGTTAGGACACTGACGGGGTTAAGTTCGGACCATCTATGCGATTTCCATCTCTCGCTGATATATCTTTTGGACAGCTTTATTTCACACATGATGGTGCTAGACACTAGGAATTTGTTAATTTCTTATGTATCGCTGGACAATTCCGTGGCTTCGGAAGTATGGGTGTTAGGGCCTTTCGCGCTAGCGCCAAGCTTTTTGGCAGCAAAAGAGCAGCCCAGGATCCCACTCTGTACAGTAGGACCTGGGGTTCGCGCTGCGCCCAAGGCGAAAAATCTTTTCTGTGCTAGGAACAAAACCCACGTCGTGGCCACGCAAGCTAGCCTCTCAGGGGTTGGGCAAGACGAACACACGCGCCGCGCGACGGCGCATGCCCCTCTCCTCAATTAAATAAGTATTTTTTTCAGAGCAGCCATTTCCTTCCAGAGATGAAAAGAATCGCGCTAGATTCATAACTTGTCTGTGTAAAAAGATCGACGTTCTACAGTCGGGTTCAACCGCCACGAGAGTCGTAGATCTGACGGGCGTGAATTTTCGTGATCGGCATGTCTGAAAAGTATGTTTATTACCGTGCGTTGAAAACAACCAACCCTCCATGATAACGAAGATCAACGTTCAGAAATAGCATTGGTAGAGATCACATTAAGAAGGAAGTCAGAGGAATTACGAGGGAAACGATAAAGCCAATTATCAAGTAAGAGGAAGAATGCTATTATAAAAGTGCCTCAAAAGTTGATAATGGGTGAAACATAAACACAGCGAGAGAGACAAATTAAAGGCAGATACAGAGTGATAAGGAGCACTGCGTGGGTGGCCCCAGTGGTGTTGTTGTACCTATAACTGCCAATTTTCAGCCGGGCTCACGGTAATATAAGTCATGGAGCGCCAAAGCGCAGCGCCAAGACTGCACGTTCTGCATTCGCTCTAACTCGAAGCAAAAAGAAACCTTGGTCGTTGGCCGTGAAACTAAGTTTTAAGTTACAGCTGAAATTACAAGAATGTTCCAGGGCAAAGCATCAGGGGCACAGATGGAAATACGATTCAGAAAAGCAGGGTTTAGGCAGACTTTGCCGGCGGGTAGTGCGTGCGGAAAGCAATCAATCCTCTGGACAACAAACGCACAAACAGACTGTCTGTTTTCGTGAGTACATGCGGGCGCGGACCATTGCGCAATTCCTATCCATCAACGATGCTCCGTCACAACAACAAGTATGGGTGCTGATTGGATGAAAGCGGGGTTAAACCGATTAAGCAAACAGGACCAGTGAAATTGTGTTAGTGAGACAAAAGAAAGCACTTTTCTCTTGCATTGATGGAGAAAGAAGGGGAATTGGACAAGAATCTCCATGCACGCTTCACAACGAGCTGGACGCCATACATTAACACGCTATACGGTTGAAAAAAAAACTCCGCCAGACGCGATGCGCAACAGTGGAATTGGTGAAATTCCGAGTGGACAGATTGGCGAAAGACTTGAGAGGTCATGATACACATTTCAACGAACTGGCCGATGTCAGACTTTGCGATTGGAGCGATTTTGCACCAATTGCAGGAGCGACGGATCGCTCCAAAGTGCGAGCGACGGGAGATTTACCCGAGCGGCGCCGTGTGTATCGGTGGTCGGCGGGGTAAATCTCCCGTCGCTCGCACTTTGGAGCGATCCGTCGCTCCTGCAATTGGTGCAAAATCGCTCCAATCGCAAAGTCTGACATCGGCCACTACCTCACACCTTCGGCCGAAAGCGACGCTGTTGATGAAGCGTGAGAAGAGCTGTTCGCATTTACTTACTGGATTTATGGCGAAAACCTCTTGGATATAGTGGATAAGCTGTACTCGCTGCCTTCCCCAAGAGAAAATCGATCGCCCGCCGCCCTTCTTTGGTTGTTGCTCCAATTTTTTTTTTCATAGGGAGCACAGCCGAGCCTCAACCCACACGTAGGACTACAGAAACGATCACGCGGTTTTTGGAAAGTCCCACCTTCCTCCACCACTGATAGCACATAAAATCCAAGGATAAAAAGGATGAAGCTATCAGCATTGATTGACTCTTTTTGGGATGTGCCACGCGTTCTATTAGATCGAATCGTAGTGGCATTTCGAATGCGATGTGACCTATACAATGACTTGAGGGAGCAAATCGACCACAAATCAGGTTTTTATCTCCCAGAAAAGACTGCTGCCAATAACTGACCCCAGAGGAATGGAAGACCTGGCTGTCTGGACGACATAGGCCAACAATTTGATTACTGACCGTGCGTGTGGTAAACACCCACCTGCCACTAAACCACTTTCGTCCCTTACCACTTGGAGCATGAACTGTGCACGCTCCAAACCGCCCCGAATTAGCATCTGATGAGTTTTTCGAGAAGTAGGTACATCTATGAGTCATGATGATATGAAACTCTCGCTGAGGCAATGCAAAAAGGCAGGCGATACGATGAACTGGATGTTGTGGAAGAAGAAATTTGCCAGCTGTAAAGGATCGCTAGGCTCCCCGCTTAGGCCGACGTCATACTTTGCGATTCGATTAGCGAATCGCTGGCGAATCGCTAGCGAATCGCTAGCGAATCGAGCGAATCGCTAATCGAATCGCAAAGTATGACGTCGGCCTTACGTGGCGAACACGCCCCGTGCTGTCCCAGGAAG